TTCTGTAGCTTCTATCTTGTTTTTTAATTATAACAAGGGGTGATGTCCAGTCAGATGTTGATGGTTCTATGTATTTATCTTTTATGAGCCCTTTGTATAATTTGTCAGCTTTTTTCTATGCTTCTGGATCTAAAGGTTTAGTTTTCATTCATGATTTTTCACTTCTGCATATTTGGTCTTCAGGTGTATTAAGCAGTAAGCTTATTGGTGTAAATTCTTTAGAATTGAATATAATTGTTTCTTCTGGCTTCATTCAGAATACTGTTTTTATATATTTTTGAACAATAGTTCAAACATTTTTCTGTATTTTGGGTCAGTATTTTTAATTAATATTTTTTAGTCTTTCTTCTTCATTTTTCCAGTCATCTTTGTGTTGTTTATATTAGAAATCGAAGATTTCTTTTACTTCTTCTATATTTCCTATATATGTTTTACTAGGTATTCTAATTTGTTTATTTGTCCAATTAAATATTTGTATTTTTGTCGAATCTCAGATTAATCCGTCTTGGATAGTTAATCCATTTTGTGCAATATACACTGGTATTTTAATCAAGTGTTCTTTTCCTTTTTTAGAGTTACTTATCCCTATATTTTGCTATGTAAATGGTTTAATTATTGTTTGTTTTGTTGTATAAACAGGTTGTCCTTTTTCTATTGTTGGTATCATATATCACCTTATTTCATTTGGTATGTGTGCTAAGGCTTTGTGTAATTTAATAGTTTTTCTATTCATTTTAATTAGTTTATATTGTAGTTCTACAGAATCTAATTCCATGTTGTAACCATATGAAGTTCTTTCTTTTTTGGAAACTGGTGTTGGTGCTCTACCAGTTGTTGGTTTTAATTCAGGTAATACTTTCATTGAGTCATTTGGTGAATTATTAGCTGATTTATAATTTGATTCTTTTAATTGTTAGTCTACTTTGGCCATCATTTCTTCAAATAATTTGTCAAATGTGTCTACTTTTAATTTTTGTTCTTCTTTTTGTTCTTCAATAGTTGGTTCACTTAATTTTTTTTGTTGTTTAGTCATTTCTGATTCATGCCTTTTAGTAAAGGATATTTGTCTTTGTCATTTGAATTCATCAGATACTGGTAGTATTGTGAATTCGTTATTTTGCAAGTTATCTATTTGCAATATTAGTTCTTGGGTTAACTGGGTTGTTGCATTATCTTTTAATGCAGTTTTTCGTAAGTCTTGACTTGAGTCCTTTCAAGATAAGAATGGTAATTTTGGCATGTAGGATGATACTGTTTCTAAGAATTTTTTAATATTTGATTTTGGTGAAGCAGGTACTATAGTTATAAGGTGCAGTAAAGCATCTGGTAGCATTATATTTCCGAAGTCTGTTGTTGATGGTGTTCATGAATGCGAAGGTGTTATTTGAGTATATCTTGGTGAAGATGGTAGTATATATATATCTTGGGTTCTACTTCCTTCTCCTAAGTTTAGATCAGATATGTTGTAGTCTTCAGTATACAATATTTAGTACTAATTTGGATTTATGATATCTTGATTTTTATAATACTGTTTAAAGAATTCATCATTCTTTTGTTGATGTTCTTTGTCAGATTTTATACTATTTGAAACTTCATCTTTTATTACATTACTTTGGTTTTGTTGTCATTGTTAGATTTGTTTAACGTGGTCAAATCTTTTTGTTTCTATCATTAGATTATCAAAGTATCTTTGACGAGCTTGTTCTTATTTTTTCGGGTTTTCATTACTATTAGATTCTCCTACTAGTTGTTGCATAACTAGTTGTTTGTCTGCCATTGGCATATTTACAAATTGTTCAGGTTGTATTTGTATAGCATCATCATATGTGTATTGGTAATTTCTTTCTCCTCTGCTATTTCATTTTTATAGTATTATTTAGTAGGTTCTTGTTGTTCTTTGTGCCAGTTTAAAAAAGTGTAAATCTTTTCTCTTAGCATTTCATTGTCTTGTATTTCCCTTATTTCTTGTGGTAGAGAAGGTATAGTTCATATTTGTTGATATACTTCTTCAAGTTTAGTTCTGGATTGCCTCATATTCATTTTCTATATTGGTAATTTTTACCATTAATTCTTCTAGATCTTTTACGAATTGTTCATTTTGAGATTCTTGTTCTTGTTTATGTTTTATTTCTTTTACATTTTTATTTAATAATGTTGTTATATTTTTCAGTATTGGTGGTGGTGATATCTTTTTCTTTTTAGTCACTTCTTCAGTTCTATATTTATTTAAGAACTCATTTATTATTTGTAATGTCTTTTCACATTTTTGTTCTCTGATTCTTTTTTGTGATTTTTCTTCTTTAGGGTCTTGATAGTATTCTCTATCTTGGATGGTTAATCTATTCATTTGTTCTGTAAGATCTATTATTTCTATATCTGGTAGTAGATTTTTT